TTAAAAAGGAGGGGGGATTTACAGGTTGTTTTTTTTACAGTTTTGCAGTATACTTGTCTTTAATATGCCATGGACTGTAACTCCAATTTCTTAGCCAAAAAAAGTATGCCTGAGAGTAATGAGAACACTAAAAGACATGTTCTGAAGGAGTTTACATTCTTCACTAACAAAATTGCAAATCATCCACCTTTGGTGAGATTTGAGATTTTACAACTATGGTATAAATGGTGCACACTTTTCAGGACACCACCCAGTAATATAACATTTCCTGTTTTACTCAGATGAATGTTTGGACCTCTTCTGTGTTCTAAAAAATAGTATGTCTCTTGGAGTTGAAACATCACAAACTATTTATGAGTGTTTCTAGTTTAGGGGACAGTAGGTGGAGATGTAGTTAATTTACATAGTTCTATAACTAAATATGGTTTCCTCTTTTATTTGAATATTTCTAATAATCAACTCTAACTCTAAATTATTTGTCTCTTCTTGTCTTCTCGTCTTCTTCCTGTTATTTCCTAGTAAAAGTAAAATTGAATGCCGTAAGTCCATTTGAATCTTTCTTAAATAAATTTAGCAAGCATGACTAATACCCTCATATTCTTTTATTTATGAAATGCCAACTTGTTCTTTACTGATGTATAATCTTGGAAATTATATTAGATACATATTTTTAGGAAAGTTTTATGGCCAAAGAAAGAAAAAAGAAAATTTTTGATAAACACATCATCCATGCAATAAGATATTTTTATTTTACTTTTTTTTTTATTTATGTGCCTCCCCCACTAATACATTTTAGTGAGTTGGGCAGGTAGGGTTTTATTCCCTCCATTCAGTAGGGGGAGGAAGACTTAGGATAAAGAGATTGAACATATTCTGGTTCCATTCAACATATATGGTTCATATTCTTAATCATGACAAAATGACAGAAAATTTGGATTTTACGTCATTTAGTCTGAAAAAATACAAAGCCACTTATTACGGCGTTGTATGTGAGCCATATTGACTGGATTACAGGCATTTTTCAAGTGTCTACTTTTTCTAGCATGCCCAAAGTGAACACTTTGAAAAAGCCTGTAATTAGAAGTAAAACACATTAGTTTGTAACTGTTACTGGCTTTTAGATTTTGTTTCTGATAACATTAGTGTTAACTTCTATCGTTGGACTTTCGTTCATTTTTTATATCTTGACATTAAGGTCATTGTTTTCCTTTATAGGGGATATACCACTTATGCCATATGGAGTGATCAAAAGCATACTTGCTCCACTACAGTGAATACATTTCTTCTACTTCTATCACTTTTATCAAACAGTGAGCACTATATATTTATTCTGTTTTATTTTTATTCTTCACAGTGAGAATTCATGGTACTTATGCACAAGAGTGCATATCCTAGAGTGTGGACTGACTCACTACACACTTAATGAAAATTACAAGTAAACTTCTAAAGCCACCTCTGGACATTGCCCCATTGGACCAAGACAGTGAACCTATATACATTGGCGAGATTATACCGCCTAGGCACTATAAATTGGAGCTATAATCTGCTTCATACACTGTAAGTGCAATTCCAATTTTTCTTTTTTTCACCTAATCATTAACATACTACACTATATTTTGCACTTTGTCCTCTTCTTGTTACATACTGTCACACTGCCCCAGACTTGAGGACATCCTCCAAGGTGATGCTCCCCTCTCTCCACATAACAGACGGGGACCTTGCATCCTCCCAGCTGGTCCCACGCATGGGTAGCTTGTGGGACTCTAATATTTATAAGGGGTGGAGCTGGTGAACGTCTCCCTTCCACCGCACATGTGAGGGCTTTAATATTAAAAAGATGGGACTTAGTGTCATGTCATGTCAATCACCCCCACATTTTTCCCTGACTCCACCCCAGTGGCCAGCAGAGCCCATGCCCCTAGCTACTCCCTCTTCAAATAAAACTACCCTACCTACCCCCTCACAAAAATATAAGATAATAGGTGTAAAACACTTGTTCAATAATATCAAAATCATACATAACATCTGATGTCTTCTGTGACGGACTGCCTGGCACTCCGACCGAGTGCCTCCGCCAATCGATGCTCTTAATGCTCAACGAGGAATTCCAGCACTCCACCAGACACCATAAGCATTGCAGACCCCACTTCCAGCGATGCAGCTGTGCCGGGGTCTAGCTGTCCTTCACCCACCCTGGACCCAGCTTCCAGTGGTCAGACTACTCCTACTCCCAGAGAGTGTAGCAGGAACAGCTCTTATAAGAGCTAGCGATTATAATTCCTGGGGAGTATAGTGATATAGCAATTCCCAGGATAGATACAACTGTTTCCCCCACACATGAGATGAGGCTCTATGTTGAGGGTAAGCAGGAACTCAGTTTTAATGGTGGCACACTGGCCTTTTATGCAAGTTTCCCTACAAGGGTGACACCCAGGTGGACCTTGTTGGGCACAGGGACACAAAGTTAACAAACCAATAAAAACAGAGTTATACAGTGAGACACTCCCATACACAAACAATAGAATCCCTCCTCTGTGCTTGGGAGATAATTGAATCAGGAACTGTACTAATTGTCTCCAAGCACAGAAAAACATACAATTTTATGAAACCCCCAAAAGTACCTTAAAAACACATAAAACCCCATAAAAGTTACATCCCCTGATAACCCCAATCTGGGTGAACAACATATCCAAAAATCACCCAGATCGGTTCAGGGGTTCAGAAATTTCCTGGAAGTCATAGCTTTGGACCGACCGCAAGCATGCCCCCATGCCCAAAACAGTTCCAGGAAAATCAGTGCTATCAGTCGGTCAAGTTTGGTAGACTTTTACAGGTTTCCCCGCAGGGCCCATAGTCTGTGGGCAGGAGGTTGGCAAGCAGGCCCCTCCAAGTACAGGTGGCGAGGTTACTTTCCCCACATCTTCTTTCTTCTAAATGTTCTTTTCTTCAGCCCCCAAAAAGACCAAAATAAAATCCATAGTAAAATGGTGCAACTATCAAAAAAAAGAAAAAAAGAAAAGATCTGCAACAAAAAATATGGAAAAACAAAAATGTGAAGCATTAGAAAAAAATCTATGTGAGCCCTGTGGGTACTAAGCTCGGAATGAGCTGACAAGGCAGAGCAACCCCTTATAAGGGCTTTCCCATACTACATAAGCTCAGTCAGAGCATTCATTGCTTGGCTTGTAAGCCTGCCAAGAGCCCTCTGATTGAGCCTTGATAGCATAGGACATTTTCTTACTGGGAATTTCCCCGTGGGCACAGTTATGTGGGTAAAAAAAAGGCAAAGTTGAAGCTAATTGTATGTATATAAAATCCAGGACAGACACAAGGGGACAACCCTATATGTAAATATAGTAAAGAAAGAAAAAGAGCATGAGCTGTCCTAAAGATAATGTAAGAAAAAGTATTTAAAACTTCACATTTATTGGATATAAATTAAAACAGGAAAAACACTACTAAATAAATCAAAATATACCAAAAGGAAGAAAAGGAAAAAATGGACTAAAAGAGGTCGCTCGGACAATCTAATGTCGAGATGTCTGATGATGGCTAATGTTAGTGATAAAGAGATGGTGATGACCAGAGTCTCCTAAGTGAGGAGTTGCTAGTACAGGGTGGGGTGTCCTACTGAGCTCCGATGCTCATTTCGCCGGTAAATGGCTCTTCAGGGAGGAAATGAATCCCGGCAATAAAAAAAAGTTGAAATAGCTTGCTCTTGGATATGATAGGTAGATGTGCTAGTACATCACAACATCATGTGTAAATGAACCCGATTAGTGAATGAATCAAATATATATATATATAATATCCAAAATGATGACTGCACTCCTCAGTCTTCATTAAAATCCAAGTAATTTTATTAGATATACATTAAAATATAGATCAACGTTTCAGCCACACACTGGGCTTTCCTCAGGATCAAAAAAAATGAACATGTAATATACACAGAGAATGGTCTGTGTAAATTACATGTTCGTTTTTTTTTTTAGTTGCA